TAGTAAATTACGAAAGAAATTTAATTTATAATCGTACTATAGATTTAAAGCGAATAATTTAATTAACTTGATTAATATTAATTTGATTTTAGCTTAATAATAACGCATAAGTAAGAAACAATATTAACGTTTACAATTAGTTAGAAATTAGTATAATTAAAAATTACGCGTTTGAATATAATTAAATTCACGTTTTTATGTATAATAAAGATAACAGCGCAGATATTTAATTAAAGATTATACTATATATGTTAATTTGATTAAAGATTGATTCTAATAGCCTGATTTTAACCGCCAATTGCAATTCTAACGTAGGTGTAAAAATCAACAAAAAAAAAAGCGCAACTATACAAATTAAAATTAAAAATATTTTTTATCTTATTCGTATACTATCTATCGTATTATAGAATTTTTGGGAAAAATATTTAAAAGCGAGTTGTCTATTAAAGTTAAATTTCAAAATCAGTTAAATCAAATTTGTCAGTATATATGGGGATGGAAAATAAAAAAGTATCTTTTATAAAAATTTTCTCTTTAACGCGTTTTTCTGCCCACCCTAACATTTAAAGGTTAGTTAAATGTCAACAATTTGCCGGCGTTGTTTTATAACTCTCTTCTCGCTGAAGAACGTGCGTCGCTTGCACGTTGTTAACTTCCCTCGCTGCTATATACAATATAAAGTGTATAATACAGAGAGTTGTGCTGCAAAATTTTGCATCAAATTTGTGCATTCTGTGCAACTACGGGTGCTACGATTTTAAATGATCGAAGGGGAGATCTAAGGGAAATTCAATAACCGTAGAAGCTGCCTCGAAGCTGGCTCGGCTATACAACACTCACCTGCACTCTTAAACATGGAACAACACGTTTTTCAGATTTGTTCTATATTTGCTCGCGGCCGTCGATCATCGGGAGATCGATCGGCTTTTTTCTGATCTGCCTGGCTCTTTTTTTGCAATCCCGACATGGCCGCTCGACACGGTGACGGGATCTATGTTTTGTTTTTATTTATTCAACGTTCTCCGTGAACATCCGTTTACCTGCTATTTCGCGTTGTTCCGGCTCTTGATTAATAGTGCATAGTTTCAAACAGTTCGAGGATTTAAGATTCTTGAAATCTAAGTTCTCTAAAAGTAATTACAAATTCGCTGAGATACAAATAATCACAATAAAATTATATTTTAATTTTAAAATAAATAAAACAGTTAATCTAAATTTATCGGAAGCGTTTTAGCTCAAATTTAAATGAATTAATATATCTCGGACAAAAATATATAAAAACTTATTTATTCTTCAAGTATTGAAAAAAAGAATTCAAAAACAGCAAGATCTTTGATTCAGAGAAATTCAATGCAGCCGGATGATTGAAGAAGTACACGAATAAAGAGCTAAAGAGACCGTCGCCGCCGGTGGTTTCGAGCGAGTGAACAGTAATTCTAACGCGCTTTCGGTCTCGTTTGCGTTGATCAAGTCCGGATTAAGTCGTCTCGCAGTGCTCTTTGCCTGTCGACCGGTTGACACGCGTAAAGGCTTTTAACGCCACTGATCGCAGGCTTTACGAGCAAACGAAAGGAACGGAATAAAGAGCGAATGGAGCGGCCGGGCCGGCTGAATTCCGCCGGTCGGCGCTCTCCTTTGATATACCCGGGCGCGTTTGAGAATGCAGGTCAGAGTTGGTGGTACGGAGAGGAGGTACTGAACTAACTTCTCCGCCGATAGTGCCCGAACGGCGGGGGAGTGCGAGAGCATGCTGTACAAGGTGATGCAGGGTAATGCCGCCTTACCGGGAACGCCGGCCCGTCAGGTGGCTGATGCAAGAGATACTCGCACGAGGATCTTGAAAATCTCAGTCCTGAAATCTGCACACGTGTTAGAAAGCTCGAGCAACAATAGTGTTTTAACAATAGCTCGATGGATCAAAAATTGATGGTTGAAAATCCGACGATTTGAGTATCAAAAGCGCAATATCCTCGAGTCTTTGGATTTTCGGATGTCTAGATTTTTAGATGTCATATTCTGGTTCTTTAAATTTCACAGATACTACGGCGTATTCAAATATTAAAATAGTTGAGAGTTCGGAAAATGCAAATTCTTTGAAAGATTCGAGAGTTTAAGAATTCTATGATAAAAATGTTAAAAATTAAATTAGATCATGTGAACGTTGCTTTGTTTAAAATTCTTTATTTAGAGGACTTTTAGTTTTCCAGATCCTTGTATTTGAAAATCCTTGAAATCTTGGGATTCTTAAACGTAAGAATCCTCGTAAAAGTCGTGTCTGTGTGACACAACACTAATTTATTCTTGGACTTCACAATACACGCCGAAGTTCTTCGTGGGTGCTTCTGGATCACCCTGTACAGGCTGCCAATATTAACTACGTGGGTGAAAGGCACATTTGCATGTACACACAGTGAAACGCGCATCGAGCGGCATATGAACGGGGATCGTTCGGGGAAAATCGGGGAGCCACAGATGTCTGCGAATCCTCCGGAGGAAATCGTGCATTCCACGTCCAGAACGGAAGCGCACGCCATTTTCATTCGGCGACCATTCTCCTGAAAGTTCGCCGAGATGTTCGCGAAACACGAAACTTCTCGCAAGCTCGCTCATGCTTGCTGAATCTACTTTCAGTAAAAGACATTTGTGTATACTGCAATTGAGAAACATATTTACCTTGCTTTTATACAATGACTGTAATTTAATAGTGTATAAATATGTAATTCAATTATGCAGCATAATTTGACAAGCAATAAACGTCTAAAGTAACGAATAAATAATTTCGCAATTTTGCGTATGTATTTTTTTTTTTTTTAATTTTTTGATCGAGTTTTTCTGCTTTTGCTTTGTTCACCAAAACAAGTTAGTGGTCGAGAATGTTAATCCGGAAGCATGATAAAATAATAAAACATTAAAACAATAAATGTTAAAATTATATCTCCACTAGAGGAGGAAATTAAAAAGAATTATACTGGGAAAATTCTGCCGCGGAAACTTTACACATAAAGGACTAAAAATATAGCGTAATAAATCCAGTATATTTTTGTCGAAATACCGGAAGCAATCGCGCGAAACGCTACGCGCACGGAAAGCTGGCTTTGAAATTTATATGGTGGCTACACGAGGGCGGATATCGAAGAGTGTTTTTACATTCCGTGGATAAAAATCGAAAAGTTCGAAATATCAAGAATTACGTATAACGATTGACGCGCACAACATTCAAGAATTTGACATTTTTGGATCAATTCCAAATTTAGTATTGGCGCCATTTTCTTGTTCCGCTATTCATAAAAACTCTCGTTCTTTTAAAATACAAAAATCTACGTCATTACACAGAATTTAATTCTCACGCGATAATGTTTATACGATTTATGTTTACGTTAATGCGAAAATAATGTCTGTATTTTGTTTTGCGTAAAAAAATTTATCACTTACATATAAATGTATTATTATTTTATAATGTAACGTAGTTTTTTTGGTCTTGAGAGATTATTAATTTGTTCCCTTAAAACGAGATATGTATCAAATATTTTTTGCTCGTGCAAATTTTACTTTTAAGAAATATAAAACTTTTTCATCATCGAGGTATCCTGAGAAAAATTTTGTTGACGCCCGTGGGAAAAACGCGGGGTGATGAAGGTTTGCAAATTGTATGCGTCGCGCAGGATAAAACTCGCGAAAGTTTTGCGCAACGCTTGGACGAGCAATCTTTTCCGACGACTTCGCATTCTTGGCGATGCCAACAGCCAAACCCACACGACGAAATTTCCGTGCTCGACCGTACGATACGGAGGCGTCGATCGCCCGGAGGGTGGATTTTATTATTTCTCGGGCGTCGTATTTCGTCGTTTACTACGGAAACGCGTCTCTCGCGAGGAATGCAGCTTGGCGTAAAGCGCAGATTGTTACGATCAATATTTGCCAGATGCACTTTCCTTAACGCGAACCGACCTCGCGGAAACCCTCGGCGTTTTATTGCGGCTGCTCTTGTTTTCATGTCGTTTATATTTTTATACATCTGTATACCACCAAGAATCATGTTAAAATTAGAATCTATCTCTGTTATTCGTGTACAATAATACAGTTGATATTTTTAGATAAAGATTGGCGCCAAATTGACAAATTTTTAGAACAAAACTTTAAAGAAAAGAAAAATTTTAATAATGGGATATATTTGGAAAAAAATAAAAAGCTAACATACTCGATCACTATATGATATATTATAATTCGGGATGTCAATACCTTGACGGCCGTTGTCACGTTTGTGACACTTCATTTTTGTAATATAACCAACTTTAATCTAAGCAAAAAATATGTTAAAGACGACTTGAGCGATGTTGCGAAAAAGTACTTACCGATAATGGATGAAAATTTACGCGCAAGGTGCGCGGCCGTCAAAGCGTTAGAAACGCAAATATCTTTCATAAATTTTCTTTACGGTATTCGTATTCTTATTCAGACGCTTTTACATGTTGCAAATTTCATTACGTATGTAGCGGTTTCTGTGGCGCGTTTTACGCCCATATAAATGAAATTATGGCGTCTGGTGTGAAGGACCATAAAAGGAAAGCTCGCGCGGAAGCATAACGTGACCACTTCTACCAGACGTCATTTCGATGCATCTGTGCGCATCAGATATTCCCCGTCGAACGTCCCGCTAATATCATCGCCAATCGCGTTATGCGTGCATGTGCATACGCTATGCAAGGCATCTTCGTATACGGGGTATTCCAGAAATCGCGTGCTTCCCTCGACCGCAGATATTCAAATTGATACAATACCGAGAATTACGGCCGGCTCTGTGTTTTAAAAATGTAAATGGATGAGGAAAAAAAATAATTTATTACATTGAAATAGTAGTTAAATATATATTTTTTTTATCCGAGACGTTTAATATGAAAAATCGAAGCGCGACAGAATTGCGGTCGAGGAAAGGCGCGGCGCTCTGGAGCAGCCGGTATACGCGCAAAATAGGGCTTGTTAGCGAAAAATCGTCATCCCACCGTCTTGACGTAGTTGACGGTCTCGGCGGTCGCCTCGGTGAGGGCCCGGCGTAGTCGTGATCGTCGCACCTGCGACAGCGTACGTGGGCAGAGTACGACGCCCTGGCCGCCCTGTGTGCCGGAAGCGGCGCCAGCTGGGCCGGGCGCCATGGCCGTGGAGGTGGGCGCCGTCGCCGCCATCGTCGCCGAGGACGACTTGCACCACCATGGAAACTGGACGCGTTATACCGACAACACGTGGTTAATACACCTCTCCTTCCTGTCGCGACGGTCGCGCGGTGCACGGTGGACGACGAGACAGACAGCACAAGTGCAAGGCAAGTTTAAAGACAGACACGTTGGACGGACACGGGATCGGTTGCACCAACGATTATCGCGGCCAATTAATTCCGCTCGGGTCTCTGCTGTTGGAGCCCTTAATGGCGGCGACACACGAGTAGAGAAGATTTATTATACTCGTCAGCTGTGGCAACCTTGATTTGTGTGACGATGCTATTCAATCTTTACACACTTCCGTGAATACCCTTGGATGGCTGTAAGTTTACGGAGGAAAAAAATAATAAGGGACACAGTGTTAGGGCGAGGGTATCACAAAGTGTGAGGGTGAGACAATAAACTTGATTAGCCACATTTTGGAACCCTAAAGGAGTCGAATAAAGAGCGATATCAAAGTACAGTAAACGCAGATCCATTTGACGTACTTGAGTACTTCTTATTATTTCTTTCCTCCATGACTAACTCTGATTGACTAACGCTAATTCAGCCCTAATTACGACGGAAACAAAGAAAATTTAGTTGACCTTAGTTTCTCATGATGATGCAACTGAGCTTGAAGGTCAGTTGCATTGACAGTGTAAATTAACAAATTGCTAGTCTTTTTTCTATGTCTTCTATGATAAACATTTAGATTTTAATTAACATTCAAAGAATAAATATATGCTGAGAAAAATATTATTTTAATTTAGAAAATAAGTCCAAAATATAAAAATATTTTCAGTCTGACCTTTGATGTCTTTTTTCACTAATTCAATAGTATTGATTTTATTTTATCTTATTCTTAATTCTAAATATAATAGGACTTTGCAATATAAAAGTTTACGTTTGAACTAATAAAAGATTAGAAAAATAATTATAATATCGAGAAGAAAAATTGAATTAAATTACAGTAACGCTAAATAACTGATTAACTGATTAATATCGTCCGTAAAAAACTTTTCACATAAACCAACTTTTTTAAGAGAAACAAAACTCTCTCAAACTCCATTAATCTCGTATATAAGAGATAATATTTTTTTAATGAATAATGTGATTTTTTGACACCAAAAAGTTGTGTTTGTACAACGGGGTGAAATCTATCACAACCTAATTTTCACTTATTAAATTTATCACACAGGAGGCTTTTTTCCGACAAAAAGATAACCTTACTTAACTGGCGGATAATGAACTCTAAATTCCTGCTAAATAAACGTAGCTGTTTCACAAACGCGGAGAAGGAGAATTCATTTAAGCGCTATTAACCAACGGTGATAAGTTGGTCCGACTATTATTTCTTGTCGCCGACTCTCTACTCCTTACAAGGATCATTGTCTTCGCTATAACAAAGATAAACAGGATTTAGTTAACCGCGGTAAGTGGTAACCGACGTTGGTGCAACCAGCCCAGAAATATGACGGATAGGCGACGATTTCTCTCCCGCGCGGCTCACGGCGTGCGAGAGAGACGTCTCTCTTTATCTTCCTCTTCATCTCGGCTCGTCCTGACGCGCTCGCGCGGGGCTTTCTACCTTCGTTGTTCCTAAACAAGCGCTCGTCATCTACGCCGACTACTGGCTCCGACGCTACTGACTAGACTAATGGTTGTTGATCTACACGAAATCAGCAGAGAGGCAAGTTGAGTACGCGCGTTACTTGTTGCGAAGTGACAAACACTAACCGTCGTAACGAGCTCGTAACACGATGGAAGTACTGTAATTGCATTCTCACAAACGACGCTTTCTGGCGCTACACTAGTATTGCCGTGTGTTCCCCAAATGTTGTATTCGCGTGCAACACAAATACACCGCCATTCAACCGGAATCAAAGCACTAGGGAGAAATCTACGTTCGAATCTTGTGGATTTTAGATCTACGATTTCTGTATTCGACAAGCTCGATTAAAGAATGTTATTATTACATCCCATTGAATTAATAATATTCAAAGTATAAGTTAACATTCTTCTTCTTTTCATATCAAATGATAAAATTATTTAAATAAATCAAGCTTCTCTCCGCATTCCACACTTCGCGGTCAAACAAATATAAACTAGCGGAGAAGCAGCGCAAAGGAAGAAATAGTAAATTCAATGAAAATACAGAGATAAATTATACGGAGATTTATATGTAAAGCTCTTAAAGTAGCTCATTTCGTTTATTTACACGGCAAATTTCGATTTTAACCGACATTTAAACAATAAGCACGTGTTCAGAAAAAATTTTTTTTAATCTAAAAACTGAGAAAAATTTAACATTTTTTAGTCTGACTGTGATAACTTTTTCTACTCGGCAATATTTTTTAATTTATTATTAATTATTAATACAATATATACCTTCTACGACAAAAATGTAGGCTTTAATTAACATTTAAAGGATAAGTGCATGCACAGAAAAAATTTTTTAAATCTAAAAACTGAGAAAAATTTAACATTTTTTTAGTCTATGATGACTTTTTCCACTCGGCAATATTTTTTAATTTATTATTAATTGTAAATGTAATATATGTTTTCTACGGTAAAAATTTAGGCTTTAATTAGCATTTGAAAGATAAGTGCATGCAGAGAAAAAATTGTTTTAATTTAAAAAATAAGTTAAAAATAGAAATATTTTTTAGTCTGACCTTTGATGCTTTTTTTCACTGATTCAACGGTATTTTTATTTTATTATTAACTTTATGTTTAATAAGTTTCTCGCGACAAAAGTCTGGGTTTCATTAACATTCAAAAAATAAGAAAACGTTCAGAAAAAAATTGTTTAAGACTAAGAAATAAAATAAATCAAATTTTTATAGAAATTCTGACTTTTGATAGTTTTTTCTACTGAAAAATCGACAGTATTTTTATTATTGATTTGAAATACAATAGGGTGTATAATATTTCAGCAATCTCTGATTTCATTGAACAACGGTTACTCTATTTCTGCGTATTACTATGATATATTGCGTCAGAGAGGATCATCTGTCCCAGTACAGCAATATGGTCAGCATGGTGAAATATATTTGAAAAATATATCGGTTTACGCAAACTGATATACCCATGTAATCTTTCTATATATTCCAAACATGCTTTGTGCCTTTGCCGCAGGCTAGATGCTGCACGCGAGTACCCACTTGTTCGTAGTCAACGACAACTCAAGTAGAAGGCAAGTTGCTAAGCAAGCGGGCGCATAGAAAGCCCTTGTATCATTGGTTATGCTTGGCTATTCGCTTGTTACGCCCGACATCTCGAGTTCAAGCATCTTACAATAGCCATCCTATTTGATTCGTTCAAACAAGCAACATGTGAGTAAACTAGAATCTCAATTTGCTCGAAAAGTTTCTCCTAACGTCATTAATACTTGTTCACTTCCGGCTAATGTATTGTCAAAAATTTCTTATCGTGCTCTTAATTCTGTCCAATTTAAAGTTAACAAATTATTAATTATCAATTGTGTTACGATTTTTATCTTACCAAGAAAAACTACTTAGACTGTTAATTATTATACTTTATGATTGACATTTTGTGATTTAGAAAGGTAAAGTATTTTAAACCAACATTTGTTCTCTTTAATAATCTACACATTCTGAAATCGATTATTTGGCTTCGTTTTTAGCCCTCGGGCGCTACAACTCTCCAGATATACTCGTACATCAATGCTCTTATGCATTAATCCAAACTCGTTATCCGCTTCAAGAAGCAAATATATAATCCTCCCACCGAATTGCCTCTCCGCTGACTTCGTCAGCGATAAACCGACTTAGAGGATTGCTACGGAATAAAAAGTATGGACGAATCGGGGAAACGAACGCCGAGGAGAGCACTCGGAGGTGCTCGATGAGGTTTGAAAGGGAAAGAGGATAAAGTGTGGATGTAATGTCGAAGAGATTGTTCGCCGGAAGTGGCAAGTTCGAAGTGGCGGTTGATCCGCGCGAAGAAGTCGAGAGCGAGAAATACTTTTACGGAAATGTGAAATTCCGTTGCGTCATATGGATTTACGACGTTGATGCCGCGGTAAGTGGAGGCAAGAGAGAGAAAGAAGGAGAGGCGCACTGGACGAAGGACACCAATTGATTGGCGTTTCTAATCTTATCGGCGGCACGCCACTTCCGCACCGGGGAGCTGTCGCCCGTGCGTGAGACGAAGGACCGGCGATTAACTCTTCGGACGCCGGAAGAGCAAATTTGGTTTCGAGTTAAACCCGTCGACTCTAACGGGCTGAGAAGCGTGAGCCCCAGTCATGTGACGGGTGTCATGAAATCCTCTTTTTCAGAAACGAGAAAAAAATTCCTCTACATTTTGCTAACTTCCAGATTTCAGCGTCACACATTTTAAGGAACATACATGCCGCAAAAACCGGTCTAATCCTATTAAATCCTACTAAATCCTATCGCGTTTAATCCTATTAAAGCGCTAGTAATTTAAGTTATTAAGATTCTGTTTAAATGGAAAACAAGGTTCGACTGCTATTTGCAGTTCTGAATTTAATTCAATTACACGGATACGAAGGATAGTATTGTCTCGCGCGCTAAATCGCGTGCAATGAGACGGATCGTTAATATACATTGCGTCAAGCTGAGAGTATTGAGATTCTCGAAGAGGCCTAACGCATATTGAAGCAACGGAATAACATATAAGACAAGAAACAACCCCATCTCCTCGATTCGGAAACATTAATGTGAAGAGTCACGTTCGCGCGGAATCATCACGAGGGATGAGTTTTTCTCACAGAGACTAATATCCTCATCGAAGGGGATGAAATCACCTTTCGCCACAATTTCAGAACCTTTTTTTTGCAAGATGAGAGGCTGGCCAGTCGATTGCGAACGTAATGGAACTCGACACGCGATTATGTACGTTTTTGTGGACGATCGAAGTCGACTCCGGAATAAAGATTATTCTTATCTTCGTAGAATCGAACGTAATTCAATCTGAGAGCGCTCGAATGTTTTAATCTCGTTATTCAACTGACGTAAGAATATCAGCAC